GCAAAAGTGGAAGGCGTGCGGAAGAGGGGGCGAGTATATAACAAACTATATTTTGAGTGGAAATGTTGGGGGGTCGTCTTATACGCCGGGTCGTCTTATACGCCGGCATATACGGTACATATTTTATTTATTTTGCAATATTTTGCGCTACCCAAATCAAACTAACTGTGGGGCACTCAGAAGAGCAAACAATAAACATAATATTTGCACCATTTAAAAAGAAGCAGCTACCACAAATAGTCAGTTGTTCACCATTTCCAAAAGCCTGTTGAAAGAAATTATTGAAAATATGAGCAATTGCATCTATAGGGACGGCATGTTTTTCAGTTTGGGGACTGCTAGCAAGAACTCCAGTTTCTTTACACACAGGGTGGGTGGGTCAGTGACATATTTAGCAAGCTTATGCTAGATGCTTAGAGTGGATAGGTGGAATAATATTTTGCAAGGTGGTCCCTGACTGTCCAATCTGTCCTTAAAAACCTCCAGTGTTAGAGCACCCACAACTTCTGAAGGCAAACTGTTGATCTGCATTCATCTTGCCCATCTGCCTGAAGGACCAAGGAGAGACATGGATCCAATTCCTAGGGAGTGGATTTTGTATTACAGAGACCCCTGTCCACTGCTTCAGATTCTCCAGGTTTAAAGGAATTCTGGATTGAAACAGAAAATGCTGCTCTTTTTAACTCACATGATAGGCAGTTAATGATTGAGGAATTCTGATAAATTCTCTACCGTTACAAAGGTCTAGAGTGCTGATGGTCTGAAATATTAGATTCTATTATCTTGAATATCAGAATGTATACGCATGAAGCAGTGTTTATTAATATTTTTTCCTAGCACAGCAGTTTGCTAACTGCCTCGCATTGCATTATTAGTGGCTTGACTATTCAAACATGAAATTTGTGACATTGTAATCTAAACAAAAAATATACGAGGAAGACTCTTTCCTACTGAACATGAATTGGATGATTTGAAGAGGATGGATTTTACAGGTGTTCTTCTGTTGAGCTTTGAACTTTGAGCAATTACTCTTTTTGGAAGAGATGGAAGAATTTTTAGGATGGTCTGCCGATACAGCAGGGGTCTTCAAACTTGACAGCTTTAAGACTTGTGGACTTCAACTCCCAGAATTCCTCCTCCAGTCATGTTAGCTCAGGAATTCTGGGAGTTGAAGTCCACAAGTCTTAAACTTGCCAAGTTTGAAGACCCTTGCCATAGAGGCTAACAGTTACCAACTAATGCTAGAGGGCTTGCTGAAGTGTGCATTATGTTGGGATAGATTTGCTCTAAACTGCCTCTTCACTGTGCAAAGCTCATCTAGTCACTTAACAATTAAATAAGATATAACTAGAATAGAACATGGATTCTTATTCTTCAGTACAAAGAAAGTTAAAAGATAATCTCTTCAGTGCAGCAGCTTAAGTATTTAGGCATATTTTAGGATACTATTTAGAATAACAGCAAAATCAAGGCAGTTCCAGTATAGTGGGGCATACACTACAGTGCAGAATGTTTTATGGGGAAAAAATGGGTTTGTTTTCATGAAATCTATAAATTTCAACATGGAATTTCTTCCAACTACAGTTTTGTTCATGTCTCTTTTGACATTACAACATAGTAGGCATATTCTTTTTGACCTTCGTAGTTCAAACACATCATGATGTGCAGCATGCATCATAGAGTTCCATTATTGATGTGGAGGAATTTCACAACAGACCACACAATACAGAAAACTACACTGAAATTAGAATGTATGGAAATTACTGCTTTTGATTTTTAACTCTGATTACATGAACTATTAAGCTTTATTACATACTGTGTTTCTTACAAAATAAGGCCGAGCCTTATTTTTTTTTGACCCCCGAAAAAACGGCTAGGCCGCCTTTTTGGGGATGACTTAATTTCCTCCCCCACTTAGAGTGGCCTATATGCACTCCCCTCGCCGCAAGGCCGCTTCTATCGGCCGATGAAAGCTCCCCGAAGGCAGAGTCCCCAGCCGCTTCGGGGCGAGGCGTGGCTGCCCATGTCCCCTTGCCATTAGGCAGTCTCTTTGGGGCAATGGAAGCTCCCCAAGTGCAGTCACCAGCCACTTCAGCTGGTAGAAACGGCCTGGGGGGAGCGCACAAACACACTCCCCTCACCGTGAGACCGTTTCTATCGGCCGACGAAAGCTCCCTTGAAGGCAGAGTCCCCAGCCACTTCGGGGCATGGCATGGCTGCCTGTGTCCCCTCGCCTTTAGGCAATCTCTTCTGGGCGATGGAAGCTCCCCAAGTGCAGTCACCAGCCACTTTGATCGGCTGGTAGAAGCGGCCTTGAGGTGAGCGCACACACACACTCTCCTTGCTGCAAGGCCGCTTCTATCAGCTGATGAAAGCTCCCTTGAAGGCAGAGTCCCCAGCCGCTTCGGGGCGTGGCATGGCTGCTTGTGTCCCCTCGCCTTTAGGCAGTCTCTTTCGGGTGATGGAAGCTCTCCAAGTGCAGTCACCAGCCACTTCGATCGGCCGGTAGAAGCGGCCTCGGGGTGAGCGCGCACACACACTCCCCTCGCCTTGAGGCCGCTTCCATACCCGAGGAGTTTCCATCGCCCGAAAGAGACTGCATAAAGGCGAGGGGACACGGGCAGCCATGCCACGCCCCGAAGCGGCTGGGGATTCTGCCTTCAAGGGAGCTTTTGTCGGCCGATAGAAGTGGCCTTGCGGCAAGGGGAGTTTGTGTGTGTGCTCGCCCCGAGGCCGCTTCTACTGGCCGATCAAAGTGGCTGCTGACTGCACTTGGGGAGCTTCCATCGCCCGAAAGAGACTGCCTAAAGGCGAGGGGACACGGGCAGCCATGCCATGCCCTGAAGCGGCTGGGGACTCTGCCTTCGGGGAGCTTCTATCGGCTATTGGGGTATTCTAGCCTAGGCTACCTGCAGGGTACTCCTAAAGGCAAGTTTTCTCCCCACCCCCCCACCCTTCCCCCCCATTTCTCTTCACCTCGTGTAGTTCTAACGAACGATGTGAGAAATGGCGGGGAAACGCATGGTTTAAATAGGCCTAAATTTTGGGGGCGGGGCTTAATTTAACCTCATGCCTAGAAATCATGCTGGGCCTTCATATTGGTGGAGGCCGTATTGTTGGAGAAACATGGTACATATCCTACATATACAATTGATAATTTTGTAATAGCTCCTGGGTAGCAATAATTTCCTGCCATTGTGGACAGTGTTGGCAGCTACAATATTTTGTAACTAATTTTTGTTTTATTGTAGGAAATGGGCCGACATGATGATCTGTGGTCCCTTTTTTACATGCTGGTAGAGTTTGCAGTTGGTCAGCTTCCATGGCGCAAGATTAAAGATAAGGTAGACAATGTAATCAGCATCAATACAACACCTTCCTTTTCAAGATGAATAATAAAGCAATAAAAAAAACCTGCTGGATTCTATGAAAGCCGATGGGTTGTTCACAGCAGTACATTAGAACATTTTCTTGATTGTGTATGCCAGCAGTCAGAGTTTCAGTGTTTAGAAACATTTTTGTTTTTGATACTGGAATTATATATAATCACCACAATGAACAGATGTTAAAATCTTAACTTGAAGCCATTTATTGTCTTGTTTTGTTTGCCAGTTATATTTCTTATAAGTAGTATTCTGTGATGATGGAATCTGGAATTTTCTAGAAGGCTTTTCTGAAGAGCTTTTAGGGTATAATGCCAGATATTTTATTTTATTTTATTTAGTTTTTTAATGTATTTATCCTATATATTATTAGTACATTCATTATTTTCGTGAGCCACCAAAACCCTGTTTATGATTATAGCAGGATACATACATTACATACAAATAAATGAATTTGATCTCTCTAGGAACAAGTTGGTATGATTAAGGAGAAATATGAACACCGAATGCTGTTAAAACATATGCCTTCTGAGTTCCACCTTTTTCTGGATCACATTGCAAACCTGGATTATTTCACCAAACCCGATTATCAGGTAAAATCCTGTTTTTATTACTATCTTGAAACAATGAGAAGACAATAATTTTGATTTCCCACATGAATCTGATTTAATAAGAACCAGTAGTTTTCAGTATACATTGCAGGTCCTTCCCTCAGTGAGCAGACAGGTATTTAAAGGTGAAGATTATCCTAGCCCCAAATTGTTTAGTGTGTTGAAAGTCATGACCAAATTTTTCAATATGGCTCAGTAATAGTGGGAGCTAGTTTAGTTGCTTTAGAAAACAAACAACATGTGCATGGGCAGCTGTTCACTCAGCAATCTTGTAACATTATTCTGCACCAGCTTCAACCTCTAGAGCAGGGGTTCCCAACCTGGGGGTGCGAGACAATATTCCAGGGGGTGCGAGAAAAGTCCAGGTAAATCATAGGATATTGGCTATATGTTGGCATTTTTATTTATTATTTATTTCAGGGGGTGCGAGGTTCGAGTGAAATCTCTTTAGGGGTGCGGGGCGAAAAAAAGGTTGGGAACCATTGCTCTAGAGCAAGGCAAAGATGGCCTGCATATAGTAATGAATAGATAACCAGGTGTAGATACCAGTGGTGGGATTCAATTTTTTTTACTACCGGTTCTGTGGGTGTGGCTTATTTGGTGGGTGTGGCTTGGTGGTCATGTGACAGGGTGGGTATGGCTTGGTGGTCATGTGACTGGGTGGGCGTGGCCAACTCGACATCACTCATGTCAAGGGTGTTATTCCATTATTCCTAAGTTAAATAGGGTCCTCATTGGGACCCTCTCTCTTTTGCTCCCTCTGGTCTAATGGGTTAATAAGATTTTTAGAAACCTGCAGTTGAAAGTTCTTTATGTCTCCTTACTCTGAAGACCCAATTTCATTTGGAATTTAATCCCAAACTGATTGCCCTTTTAGCATTTCTCTTGACACTTCTCCAAAATGCACCCCCAAAAAGCCACATCTCCCCCCCCCACACACACACACACACCAGAGGTTGGATTGGATATTTCTCTCCCTCCCTCTCTGCTTTAGGCTTAAAAAGTCTGTCAGTGCTGCTCCTCATTTGGCAATGCTTAAGGAGAATTAGGGGCTAGAGACAGTTGACATTCTCATCTCTGCTACGGGTGAGGCTGTAGACTTGGCAGGCACGCAATGCCTTCTCCTCAGCCTCTCAGCACTAATGAGAGATGCGGCTCTACTGGCCAGGGTAGGAAAAGCCTCTCACTTTGTACAAACCATCTGCCGACAGATACACACTTATGGATGGCGTGGGCGGGTCCATTCAGGGCACAGAGGTTCTGCTGCTTAGTCTGGCAGTCCGGCTCAAGCCACAGGGTTTTTTTTAAAAAAAAAATTATTTTCCCTACGGGAAGCTACCGAAATGGGAAGCGTGCCTCTGCCTGCATAACTAGAGGGAGACTTTCCACTCCGCAAAAGCCAATGGCTTGAAAACAGCTCCTCTGCTACCCCCCCCCCATTCCCCCCCCGGGGGGGGGGGGGGGAATTGCAAATGCGGCATGCCATTCGGGTGGGAAATGCCTGGAACACAATAAAACCCACCCACTCACGTCCTGCTGGCAGCAGGCTGGCTAAAGGGGTTGGAAGAGAGGTGGAGAAGGGGAGCCGATCAGAGCCCTCCGAAAGAAGGGGGTGAAGGAAAGTGCAGTTTGCTGCGGATGCCTTCCCTCGCCCCTTTGCCTGGATTCCCTCCTGCGGTCTCCTCAGTGCTCCGCCTCCCCAGTCTATCTTGACTGCAGGCAGAGCCACATTGCCTTTTGCAAGCCTGCTGTCGGTGAAGCTGGGTGCCGATGAGGGCTGGCTTCTTGCATAGCTTTGTCCAGCTATGGGGGGGAGAGAATGGCTTCCTCCCCAGGCCCCCGTCCATGTGTGTACCTTGGCAATGGGAGTTTCTCTCCACCCCCTTTTCCAGCTACTAGATCAGGGAACAAACCTAGCTTTGCTGCCCATTGCATTGCAAATAGGAATCTAAAAGCCGAGAAAGAAAGGGAAGTTCCTGCACAGTAAGGCCGTCGCTACCGCCCGCCGGCTTTGGGGGCCTCGTGTAAGCGGCTGCAGCGGCACTTTGCACAAACACTCCCGGACCTCTTTTTTCTTTCTTTTTCTTTTCTTTCTTGTCCTTCTCCCTTCCTCTCTCGTTCCCTCTTTTTCTCTCTTTCCCTCTTTCTCCCTCTCTCTCTCAAAGCCATGGCTGGCCAAGCGCTCTTCGCTACTTTTATTTCTTCCTTTTGGAATCAAGACTGGCTGAACAAGGATCACCAGCCGCGCTGGAAGCATCCCTTCGGGTGACCCTTCTCCTCGGATGTGCACGCCATCCTCCCAGCCCTACCACGGCTGCCAGTTGCGAGAGGAGGGGGAGATGGGTCGCCCAAAGAGACACTTCCAGCGCGGCTGGCGATCCTTGTTCAGCCAGTCTGGATTCCAAAAAGAAGAAGTGAAAATAGCAAAGAGCACCAAGGAAAGCCCAGCCGTGGCTTTGAGGGATACACACACACACATACACACACACACACAGAGTGGGGGAGAGAGAGGGGAAGATAGGGACCCAGCCACTTCGCTATCCCCTGCCGTCACCTTTACCTTCTCAGGCCATGCGAGGGAGGGGAGGGTGAGGGGCAGGAGGACCAGCCGCTTCAGGCAAGGTGAAGAGGCGTCGACCAAGCATGGGAGAGTAGAAGCCTGGGTTGGCGTCTCCTGGCTCAGCCGGCCTGAGGGGCTGCTGCAGGCATAACGGGACAAAGGCGGCGAGAAACCCCGGGACATCCGCCCACCCACCGGCTGGCTGGGCCGGGCTGGGCTGGAAGAGGCGCGTCAGCTGGGAGAAGGCAGAAAATGTGCTCCGGGAGGGCAGGCAGGCAGGCGGATGTCCCAGGGCTGTTGCACATGCGTACTGCATGTGTAGCAGCTGCACACGCAGTGTGCATGTGCAACAGCTCTGGGACATCCACCTGAGCTGCGCTATGGCCACCACGTGGTAGGGAAAGCTAGGAGAGCGACCGGGACAAGCGGGCAACCAGACAACTCGGTTCGGGGGTGTGGCCAGCCAGGGGTCATCACCAGTTCTGCGACTCATGCCAAATCACCGCTACCAGTTCTTCCGAATAGGTGTGAACCGGTTGAATACCACCTCTGGTAGATACTAATACTATTGAGACAATTCCTGCAGAAAGGAACAAAATCACTTTGATCCTCAGAAAGACCATCTAGAAAAGTATCATGGACAACCAATCATAGCCACTTAGAAATCAAGTAGTGTCAGGAGAGCTTTACTTGATCTTACTCTTCGCGTAAATCTGAAATATCCCACTTTGAGTTACACTGACAATGTTGTCTATACTGATTCTTTAGTTATCCTACTTGTCTGCAAATGGGCAGAGGATTACTATTGCTTTATGATTAGTTTATTATGTGTTTTACTGCTGTTTCTATTGTAAACCACTTCAATGCTCTGGTAAGGGAAATGATATATGACTACATTAAACAATATTACAACCACTTACGTAGCTCCTGTGAGAAAATTGCACAGATTGACTACAAATAATGACATGACACAGTAGTAACAATGGTGCATTGGACTATCTGCAAGAAATACAATTTCCCTGCCATTTGTGGTCCCACCATCAAGAACTCGTGGGACCACAAACATACAGAGAAGCACCTGCCATATTACCTCAGACTTTGCAATTGCCAATAAGAAAGACAAAAAACTCTGGACAAAAAATACCTGGAGACAGAATAGAAGGGAAAGAAATAGAGAAAAGAACAAAATACAAAGAACTGCAAACGACTGTGGCAAAAGAAAGCAAAGGCAGTACTAATAGAAATAGATGCTTTGGCTGCAATTCCACAACGTATTGACATCATTGGCATCACTATCAGTCAATTGCAAAAGGAAGTTTTAGTAGGAACCATTTACATTGTACAACAATAACTTTAATACCATAATTAATACCATAATTCCGGTTTGTCGGCTTCGCGAGCGGTAGGGATTCGCGAAGCTGCGCGATCCCTGCCGCGCTAGCCGTTTTGGGGCTCCGATCCGGATGGGTGCGGAGCAAGGCTGCCCTGCAGGGGTAGCTGAAGGTAAGGGGGATCCGGAGGAAGGGTCTGGGGGTGTTGCAGACCCCCTCCCTGGCCGGCAGAACCCCCTTTTACCAGGACGGTGCAGCGGCGGTCCGTAATGGCCGCCACAAAGAAGTCGGCAGCCGGGCAAGTATGCGCAGGAGGAAGAAGAGAAAGTTATTAAAAGTGAAAGTTCTTCTTGGTCGACCCAGGGCTTTGAGATTTATCTAATTTAATTCCTGGAAAAGATGGTTTTTTGATGATTTTTTCCACAAGAGAAAAAAAGCGGCAATTTTGAGGTGCTGAAAGGAAAGTTTACTCTCCCTCCCGACGGAATTAAGCCGGAAGGGAGAGGACAAAGAAAATATATAAATCTGGATCTTGTTGGAGGAGATGCCTTGAAGATTTGAGGACAGAAACATAATTTTAATAAGGCTTTAAAATATAGATTTGGACTCTCTTTTTATTTGTTTGATACCACCCCTGGAAGAGGAAGGGGGAATTTTGGCTTGCTTGGATTTATTGAGGATTGTGGATTTTGGGATTGTTTTACCTTTCTCTCGGAATATTTGGTTGGTGTAAGAAGAAAGAGGAATAAAGAAAAGAAAAGATTTATTTATAATGGCTTTTCCTTTTGAAGACCTGAGGGATGAATATGAGCAAACAAAAGCAGCCTGCAAAGATGGTATGGAAAAAGCTTTTCTATTTCTAGAAATGGCGCTGGTCAATTACCAACAGACAATGAAACAGATGGAAACAGAAGAACAACAACAAGGAAAAGACGAAGACGCCATCTTTATTGAATCCCAAAACTTATCTAAGAAAGAAGGAAGGAAGAGAGCAAGGAAAATGAAGGACTTAAGATCTAAAAAAACATTTGAGAAAGAGAAAAATATGATGCAAAGTAAATATAATGATAGCAAACAAGAGAAAAAGGGAACACAACAGAGAAGGGATCCCAGCAAGGCAGAGGTTAGAAGAAGAAGGGGGGGTAGGAAGATTTGGTGGGGGAAGAAAGAAAGGGGAAAGGCGGAGAAAAGCCTCAAAGTTTTAAAATTGGATGGGAGAAGAGGAATTTTTTTTAGGGACAAAGGATGAAATATAAACTTCTGTAAGAAAGATTCTGCTAGGTACAGAAGATGGTATTGTAACATTTATATTTGAAATAGTAAATTAGAATGGTTTAAGATTTAATAAGAAATTAAAATGTTGAAGTCTTTAATAATGATTGATTTTTAAAATGTAATAAAATATTGAAGGAAAGGAGGATACAATGTATTTAAACATTTTTGGTGGATAGAATGTACCAAGCAGAACCGAATTGGGTATTTGTTATGTTGAATGTTAATTTTACTAACTTAGGGGGAGGATAGAAAGGCATCATACTCTGATTAATGATTTCAGGAGAAATTCTTTTTATTATAAGAAGAGATAGAGGGATAATGAATGGGCAAAAGATATAAATATAATGATTTAATTAAGATGGATTAAATAAGATAGAATTGTGAAGAGTGAAATGCGCTGCCCATGCAAAGAGAGGTAACTGGGGCCAAGGTACTTTACTAAAAGATTTTTTTTATGTTTGTTTGTGTTTGTTTGTGTTTTATGAGAATATTGGGGAAATTTCTGTAGAAAGACAGGAAAAGATTTAAATATGTAATGATTTGTTTGTTGTTGAAATTAATAAAACTTGTTTTTTTTTTTTTTAAAAAAAATAACTTTAATACCATCAAACATTTGCCTATCACAGATCCTTGGGAAGGATTCAATAGGTGGATAAAAAAGGCCAAATCCAATCTAAACATTTGACTGACTGTGTGACCAACCACAATAATAAAAACAAGCAGATCTTTCCTCTCAGTACTATGCTGATTTCCTAAATTAGGGATATTTGCAACCAGTGAATAATTCCATAATGATGTTAACCTGTTTTAGCTATCTGTTTTAATATATCAGATTAATAAAAAAACCCAAATGTATTAGGAAATTCTTTTAAGGAGGAGGCAGTGATTTTGCAGTAAGGGAATATTATAGAAGAATTCCAAAAAAGGTCTAGTTAAGAAAGCTAAGTTTTGGGAAATACTTTGCCTATTCTTGAGAGCTGCAGCTGATCTAGTTGACAGGTGTTCATGACTTTTACTTCACTCAAAGAATGATGCAGTTATGGAATAAACTAAATTCCATTTCATCCACGTTCATGTTTAATGAAAATATATGTTTAGTGTTCAGTCAAGCATATAATGATTTTCAATTTCTACTTAATCAAAAAATTAGACTTTGGGAATAGGCTTTTTTTTTTTTGAAAGCTTAGTGGATGCATCCAATGATTAGGGGGTTACTTGTGGCTCTGGAGCTCAAGTTGTGAATCTGTGACATACATCATTCTGCATCTCATTAAAAAGTGTCTTTCTATATTCCTATTTCTGATTGTGGATAAACATTTAAACTTTAGTATGCTAACTTGTTTTTGTCTAGCTGATCATGACTGTGTTTGAAAATAGCATGAAGGAAAGAGGAATTACTGAGAATGAGGCCTTTGACTGGGAGAAAGCTGGTACAGATATTTTATTATCTACAAGTACATCCACCCCACCTCAGCAGAACACAAGGCAAACTGCAGCCATGTTTGGGTGAGTGGCAGACCCACATATAACCAATATCGCAGAATCTCACTACAGGTGCGCAGAATCTCACCTTTTGGTGCGCTGACAAATTATTTTATATACAGTCAGTATTTGTAGTTACAGAGCTTTCCCCATAACAGGTATTCTCATATTAATGTGAAATTTGAGCTTGACATGTTGACTATAAGTGATTACCTTTGAGTTGATTAAATCCAAAGATGTCCTGCTGTTTATGGATATAATTTTTCAGAAATCCAAAGAATGTTTATCTAGGTTATGCTTTGGTTCATGGGCAGCGGGTGGGGAATACAGAAATGCAGTTTCACCAACTATGTGTCCTTCATCTTTCTGGAGCTAAAGGAAGGATAGGAAAATATCACCTTCTGACCTCTTGTCATGAATAGGAGTAAAAGACAGAGAGCTCTTCTCATGGAACAGACTCTACGTGTGGTATCATAAATGTGCTGCTTCAGATCATACTCTAATTTTTAAATCTTGGGAGATTCTCTGAGTTTGTGAATATTTTTCATTTGAGTGGATCTGGTGAAGACAACTAGGAAGAAATAACCAGCCAATGTAATTTAAAGATCTTCTGTGGGAGTGGATAACAGTTATTTCATGGAAAAATACATATAGGGTCATATCAAGATATATAGTTCTGTGGAAATGTATTGGAAATGTATTCTGGTTGCCTTGTGTCCTTTTAAGGCAACTCCTCTGAAAGATCATAAACCTTGGTCAGAATCTAAGCATTTTAGACATAAGCCACATCTCAAGATTTAAGTTAAAATAAGCAAGAGTTATCCCAGTTCTATTTTGCTGTCAAAATGAAAAATAATATATTTTATTATGTTTATGTATTTTCTTTTAGCTGGGCTACTCATCTTTCTTCCATAGGTAGTACCATCTAGTACCACCTATAGTAGGTGCTATATTTCTGAATTTCCTCCTGCCATAAGCCATCATAATGACGGATAACAGTATTTTTTTTTATTGAAGGACAAGAAATTCTGTAGTTTGCTAAGTAAATATTATGTGTCCTCATGATAAGATTTCCAGGCTGCCAATAAAGAATATGTTGTTTTGAATAGTTAAATGTATTGTAAGAGGAAGAACAAAGTTTCAGCCATCCATTGAATTTAGTGGTACCTCAAGATGAGATAAGATAACTTACTTAAAGCTTCATGTTCTGTTGCAGTGCGCTTTGTTTGCATTGTCTAAAGTATTGGCTGTGAACGGGTGAGGTCTTTGTGATACTATGAGAAATAATAATTCTAAAGCTTTAGTCTTGTAATCTGACGTTTGTACATTATTTCTCCTTTAGTGTGGTTAATATCACTCCAGTTCCTGGAGATTTACTTCGCGAGAACACAGAGGATGTTTTCCAAGGAGAACACCTGAGTGACCAAGAGAACGCACCCCCAATTTTATCTGTCCGGCCAACAGAAAATAACTTAGGGCAGGCTCCAAATGTTCCCTTCAATGAAGGAGAAGTTTGGGAAGAGACTGATGTAAATCGCAACAAACTCAGGATCAGCATCAGCAAAGTAAAGCTTTTTGACCATTTTGAATGTGTACTAATCTTTTCATTTTCTTCCAAAGAATAGTGACTTTGTGAGTAGACAATATATTAAGTAAAATAGTTAATTTTAAACATGGAAGCATGTTTTAATGTAAACTGACTCTGTTTGACATTCAAATGAGATGTATGTCTTTACTGGGCTAAAGATATAAAGGATACATTACAAACTGCAATGTTTCTCTTGATGTTTAACATGCATTCTGTTATTTTATTGGATTATGTCGTCATGGCCAAAAGGTACTATCACTATTGCACTCTCCTAGGTATAATCTGTCAAGGATTGATGCATGTGTGAAATCAGATATTTAATTAGCACTGTCAGATGATAGGCTGCATCATGCTCACTACCTTGTGTATTTTTGTGGATGTATTGTACTCTCAAAGGTTTCTCCTTTTCTGTCTCAGACACAGTGTTTAGCAGAAGAAGATCAGAAAAGTGGTGTGTGCCCCATCTCCCCTGTGCGAGCCATGCCGGACTCCCCTACAACTCAAGCACGTTCTCTGAGATACCGTCGTGTGAATAGTCCTGAGTCAGAACGCCTCTCCACTGCTGATGGAAAAGTTGATCAGCATGAACGAAGGTTTGCTTAGGGCCAATTAAGTGGCTTTTATACACTCTTGTTCAAGCTTTGGGCATGTAGCTAATAGTCAAAAAAAGCAGTGCAAAAGCTGATTGTGTCCACACCTGTATGTAATGACTTTCCATAAACTCTTAAAAATTTTGGTTGTCCTCCCAGGCCTTGGGATAAGATTATTGTGGAGACTTTATGGTTCTTGTTTTCTTATGATAATTTTTACGTCAACTATAAAAAAAAACACCAACCCACACAGACACATATTGTTTCCCACCCAAATTCATCAAGGAGTTGGTTGACTTCAAAGTACAACAAACGAACAAACATCGTGTTATGATTTAAATGTACCCATAAGGAAAAGACACATATTCTTTCAGATTATTTTAAATCAGTTTATTCCGCCCCCCCTCTTTTTTTTATTACTCAGACCTATCAGTGCTAAGCGATGGAGAAAAGAAATTTAATTGTGCTGTTCATTACTTCAAATACTTGTAGATCTCTATTGAACCTTTATGTTATGCTCACATTTTAAAATTACTTACTTTGTCAATGAATAGACTATAACTTGCTCATATAAAACTCTCTGATTTAAACATACATGGCTTTTATTGAAATATACAGTATTTATGTTATTCAGTGGGTATTACTTCATCTGGACCATGGGTGTCAAACTCGATCATGTCACGGGCCGGATTGTGACCTACCATGATGTTTTTTACCTTTGCGGAGCCAGGTGGGTATGGCCTGCATGTGACATATCCAGCCCATGGGCTGCCAGTTTGACAGGCCTGATCTAGACAAATGGAAAATAAAATAAAAATAAAATTTAAAAGCATAAAATGAAATTAAAACATTTTAAGTTAAGTACTCTGAAAATGATATAGTGGATGTTAAAAAATATTCCTGTTTTCCTGGAAGATCATTCCATAAGTGAGGCAACAGAATGAATAGGGTCCACATAGGGTCTGTATTATTCTTTAATAATCCTAAATTCTTAATTTTTAAAATTAATTTGACCTGGCCTTTTTATTTTTATTTTCAGATCCCGAGTAGATTTACCTTGTTCTCCTTCCCGGCTTGTATGCTCTTCTCAGCCAGCACAGATGCTGTCTATTGAGACTGGTCAGGTAGACCGACAGGCAAGTGGCAGGATGGATGTATCTGCTTCTGTGGAGCATGAAGCTCTCAGTAATGCTTTCCGATCAGTGCCCCTGGCTGAGGAGGAGGACTTTGACAGCAAAGAGTGGGTTATAATTGATAAAGAGACAGAACTGAAGGACTTTCATCCTGGTGCTGAACCAAGCACATCTGGGACAACAGATGAGGAACCTGAGGAACTAAAGCCCATAGAAGAAGGGGATGAAAGGAGGCAACTGGGTGCAGAAGCAGCAGTCAGGCCCAAAATACATGACGGGCGAATCCGAGGTATGCAGCCTGTGGCTGAGGAGGACAGTTCCCACAGAAATGAATTGCAGTGCCACACAGTTTCTGAGAGTAAACATGAGCAGCAACCAGGAAGCCCATCACAGTCCCCTTTATATTCAGCACCAGCTATCCGGCAGCGGAGACGAGAATCTGAGCCAATGGGTCCCGAGAGACAGGTAAGATGTGCAAAAGAAATCCATCTCCTTCATGTTGCCATTGTTTTTTTCATTTTTGTGATGTCCATTTTAGTTAGTGAAGTCATCACATCGGGGCATCATATCCAGATCGAGTGTTATAACACCAGCATCAATAATGCTTTACAGCAATTTCCATTAGAAGTGAATCCATGTGAATTGTTTTTGATGCAAATTAGTCCTGAGGATCAGCAGGGTGGTGGGAAACCTATGGCCCTGTAGATGTTGCTGAATCTTTTATTCTATTAGTTTGAACCAATATGGTAAATGATAACGGATGCTGGAAGCTATAGTTCAGACACAGGTTGTCCACTTCCGCTATAGAATGAGGTACTGTCAGCGGTGCGATTCAACCGGTGTAACAACCGGTTCAGTGAGCGCGCGCCAAACACGTGCTCTGCATTTAAAAAAGATAATACTTACCTTCAACTGCAGCCCCTATGAATCAAACAACTGAGGCGCGGTAAACCGCTCTGCCGCATGAATCAGCTGTGCTCTAACAAAAGGAAATAAAGCACAGGAAGAGCAGGGGTGGGTGAGCAGGGCTCATGTGCTTGTCGGACCGAACCGGATTGGAGCCAGCTGATCATCAGAACAAGGGGTTTGCCCAAGCCAGTCCGAACCAGGAGAATCCCACCCCTGGGTACTGTAGAATGGAAGACTCAAATTAGACTACATCTGTGTGCTAATTCTGAAATGTATATGTATTATTATGCATGGAATCAAAAGACAATTTGGCCACTAACCTATTCTTTCCTAGACTGAGGTTAGTTGGTTCCTAGGTTGGTTCAGAACAGGCAAGATTTTTTTCTTTCGTATCTTATTCTGAATGCTAATAGTTCTTGACCTGTAACCATCCAGTCAGCACTGAATGAATGCTGTTTATGGCCAGTTCTCCGATTTCCAGCCATCCCAGCAGCCCCATGGTCTAGGTGCTTGGCAACCCATTTCTATTAATGACCAGTTGCCAAGCATTCCCAAAGCACATGATTGCCATTTGCAATCTTCCATGCCAGCTTTATTTTATTTATTTATTATTAAATCTATATGCCACCCATGTTGTCATCCCCAGTGGTTCCCAGAAAGTCAGTGAGGAAGCTAACAGGGAAGGTTGCAGATCTCTGGGTTAAGATTTCCCTACCTGTGTATCCTTTCCCAGGCCATTTGTGCTCTTGCTGGCCATCATATCCCAACCCGCACCATACCTATCACACATGTTATGTACTCTCTTCAACCTGCCCAGTACTTTAGGTGCATCACCTTGTACTCTGTGACCCATGCTGTCCTCCTCACACACTCCCTTGCACCCTCCTTGACCCTCACCATGCCTCTCATGCACTCTTTCAACCATGCACACTGCACTTGACACATGCTTCACTGCTTGCATATCCCTTTGCACCTTTATGCACCCTTCCTGACCTGTGCCACACCTCTCACTTCCCCTCTGCATACCCCTCTGCTATGTCCCATGCTACCTCTCGCGCATTCTTATCATCTTCTCTGATTCATGCAATGCTTCTTACTCACTCTTGAACCCATGTGCTCCCTTCCTGATCTGTGTGATGTTCCTCATGCTTCTTTCCTAAGCTGTGCAATGGCTGTTGTGCAGCTTTATGCAATCGTGCTTTATGACCTCATTTCTTGGCAATGGAGAGTCAAGTCCCAGTTGTCATTGTATGTTGTTTGACTTGGTGACTGGGACAATGATAAAGCTTTTTCAAGCTAGAGCAAGTCACTAGGTGGGCTTGCTATGCTTTTAGTTAAGAGTTATTCCACTTCCTTTTGATGCTACAATTCCTGTGAACTACTTCTTTGGGTAGTTAAGGACCATTATCGATATATTACTAAAACTCTTGTGTCTGTTTGATGCTATGTAATCTTTCATTGGGCGAAAAGCTGCACCATAAGGCAAAACTTTATGAACAAAGGTATTTAAAACGGGCTAATGTACAAAATGCTATACTTTTAAAGAAATTAATTTGGGAAGATTTTGTGCTACTTTGTGCCTGTTGCTCAGTGCCACTGTTGCACTGCTGTGGTTGAGGGAACCAGAAGGAAATGATAAGATTGCCAGACTTCTTGTAACCTTCCCACTAACAAAGTCTTTGCTGGTGGAAAGCTTGCATGGAGAAAGTTAACGGAGAAATGGTGCACCTTCTCTGCACTTGTACTGTGCCAGTCATTTGTGGATTGACATACTCCCTTCCCACGTTTTGTACTCCCACATTTTACAGCCACTTACTTACCCACTGGGAAGGAAAAGGGAGGGAGGAGATACATTTCTGGTGCTCGCTGCCAACTTCCCACAACGCAACTCAATTGGGAAGCTGTCAGGAAATCATAAGTTGCTCCTGTTGTCACAGATTTTTTAAATCTACCGATTGATCATTCTTGTTCTCTGTTTAAGTATGGAAGTATGGGTCACATACTGTCTAGTTCTTTATTAAAATAACCTATGCAGAACACTTCAAGAATGTCATATAAATGCTCAGTATTATAGAAAAATATTATCATTACATGTCAGAAATAGCATCTTAAAAAAGTATTGTACATGCCTCCCCAAAGCAAGTTTAACTATTATACTTCTTCAGTAGTCAATCTATTGTGATTTTGTATTTTTATTTGTTTTTTTCTCAGTTATACATTTGTAGCTATTCTCCCAATACTTATCGCTTATTCAATAGTTAAGATAGTTCATATATCAATGTACTGTTGGACCTCTTTTGGAAAATATATCCCATAGTTCATAGGTTTGCTTAGATTCACAGTTGTTTTTAAATAGAGAACTCTGAAAAATATTTAAATGTCTTTAATATCTATGGGTTCACAAATGCATCTTTCACCATAGGAGTGACAAATGAGAGGGTATTGGAGAAAATAAGGAAAATTTAAATAGTGATTATAGATGGAAGTAAGACTAATATGGAAATTATAGTGATATATGATAAATTGGTCTTTAAGTAAGGCTAATATTTCATGTAACAGTTTGCTAGTTGTGCTGTACTATTTACTTGAGAATTTTGGAACCAACTAAGCATGGAAGAGCAAACAATTTGAGAGTCCTCTTAATACTAATATCTTGTAATTTAAATAGATTATTTTCTCACCATTGAGCAAATTTCTTAGTGCTTTCTTCATCATCACGAAAGACATTTAGTAAGAAGCTACAAAAGGAAAAGTATGGACTAATTATTTTTCTATATTTATCTCAAGCATTTAGTGAATTGCTTGATAGTCTCTTAAGATGGTTTCTTTCTGGGTATATCAACCTAGATATATACAGCCACAGGAGGTCTGCCTCTTCCACTAAGATGATGAAACTATAAAGAAGTACAATCCATTCTGAAATCTATGTTAGGCAATTGGCATAATAGTACACCTGTAAAAAAATTTTTTTACAGGTTGTTGAATTTAATTAATCCTTGCTGTTCATCTCTCTCTCTCTCTCTCTCTCCTCTCTCTCTCACCTATCCACCTAATCTATCCCTCTTGTCTGTCTGTTTGTCTGTCTAGACTAATGAACAGCGAAGGATTAAATTCAAAACACCCCCCCCTCTCTCTAAAACAGAGATTCTAAGATGAACAATTGTTAGTAAAATATTATCAGCAAACTCTTTCCATTTGTGTTCTTGTGCAACTAATTTAATCTCTAGGATTATGGTTTCTTGATGAACTCGGATTATCAGGGTAATCAGTAAATATCAGTAAAGTACATTACTTTGAAATAACACTCACAATAATTTTAGCTTTTTGTTCTTTATAAGCAGAAGTCCCCAATCCCTGATTTGTTAGGAACCAGGCCACACAGGTGGTAGGCGAGTAAGCAAAGCTTCATCTGCACATGTGCAGGATCTAGGTTGCACGCAACCCCTCCCCCCATGAAACAGGTCTCTGGTGCCAGAACAGTTGGGGGCTGCTGCTTTATAGTACTCTGTATCCCATGTAAATTAAGATCAAGCGTACTTTTTGCAGATCTGCAACCAAAAAGGTCGTTTCAGATGATCAAAGGCTTTTTCAGCATTAAGGAAAATAGCTTACCTTTGGTCTTTTGGTTTATCTTGCCAATAGCCTTCAATATGCATCTGACATTTTCTGTCATATACATCTTCAGGACAAAGTCAGGGTCAGGATATATTATCTCAGTTAAAAAAACATTTATCCTCTTAGCAAGAATTGCTATAAAAGTTTATAATACACATTCAATAATAAAACAGGTCAATATCTTTAAGGAGGAGTCAAATCCATTCCTACTTTATAAATCATAGCAATGAAAATGTTGTGGTTAGCCAGCAGCAGGTGCGGACGGTGGAGAAGAGCGAGGACTCAGATGATGGCCAGGACCATTAGGAAGTGGACTGCTGCCTTCAGAGATTGTAGGGGCTGGCAGCAGTGATGAGGAGGTTCCCGAGGAGCCTGTGCCAAGTGCGCGTGCACACAGGATTGATCGTAGGAGAGAGCAGTTACAGCAGCGCAGGCAATTCGGGAGTAAGGCTGCAAGGTAATGGCCCCTCCCTCAAGAGGATAAAAGCCAGGTTTGAAGAAGCGTTTTTTGCAGAAGGCAAAGATGCTCTGAAGCTCAGCCTTGTGGACATCATAGTTAGTATTTGAAAACTCTTGTAAACTAATTCATATCTCTGGGTTTTTGGCAGCCTTGACAAACAACTTGGCAAAGCTCTTTCTTGTCAGAGCTAATTAGTTTACAGCAGCCTTTTATCTATGAAGAAACAGAATTTGTGGATTAAACCTTAAAAGGTGGGGGCTGCTGCCTTTGTCTTGTATTTGCTCTCTTGGAACCAGGTTGGGTAAGAACAGAAAAGTCTGTTTCCAAGATGTGCCTGAGTCTTGTTTGTTACTTGGTTTAAAGGTTTAATCAGAATTTACTGAAAAATCTTATAATATATTGCTGAAACGCCATAACATCATGGAGTTTTATTCATTTTTAAATTTTTAATTGCTTAATTAAAATTCATTTAGTTTTGTCT